AAAAAAAAAAAAAAAAAATCAACTGTTTTTCTGATGGTTTTCAATGAATTCAATTTCAAGTACATCAATATTCGCCTATAAAAATTTTTTCCATTTTATGTCACTATCATCATTAGGTAAAATATGTTTGTTACCAAATGATTACTGTTACCTTGACAGCTGATTCAATTAAATACAATTTTCCTATTTTTAAAATGTAAGAATGGGTGGCAAACAATGAAAATGTTAATCAACTTTTTGTTGTCCAAGCAGTAGAGCAAGATTGCGTAAACATAGTATTTACAGGCATGTATCGCCGACCATGATGCTTTGTATTTCATTTTCTATTTTAAAATGACTGACAGTTTTTAAAAACAACTCAGCCATAGATATATACAAAAAAATGGTTCGTGATTCCATAGTACAATTTATATTTGAGTGAAATGGAATTCGTCGCTTGGTATAAGGAATAACATTCGGTCATTCATCTTTGTGATTATAAAACAGCAATGTAACGTTCACTAACAGAAAACTTGCAACGAGAAAGTTATATCCCAAACAATCTTGCAGATAATATCCATGCAAAGTCTCAGATTTTAATATTTTATTGTACCAGATATTGTATGTCATTTATTAAGAAAATGGAAATTTTATTTCTCAATACATCATATTAGAAACAGCAACCGCCAACAGAGTCAATTTACCAAAATTTTATTACGTTGAGTGAAAATAAGATAAAATACTTTGAATAAGTAACTGAAAAAAAATTTGTCAACCAGTGCAATACTAAGATTAATATAGTTTCCTCATTAAAAATTAATAAACATAATGTATTGGCATCTGGCATAAAAAATTTTTGGATACATAATTTAATCATATTTAAATAACACAAATAGTATAAATATATTACAACATACACGATAAGCTAGCTGTCTGACGAATTATTTATATAATTTATTCTATCAAAAGAGAAAAGTAAATTTTCTGATACAATAAGTGATTCATACAAAAAATAAAACAAATATGTACAAACATGTATCAACACTTTTCAAGATCTTAATAGAAAAGTATCCACGGTTTATATATCAGAGCTCATACTTCATTTTAATTGTTATTGAGAAAACTATTTATCTAATTATTGTACTTGTTGATATAATTTGTTTTATTTCTATGTTTATAGTGATTTTTAAATTCTTCTCAGTGAATTGTAATAATTAAAATTTGATTAGAAAAAAATTGTTTAAAAAATTTTAGGTAAGGTTCAATATACACCGATGTGCTCTACAATAATTGGCGGTGATTTTCAAGCCTAACGGTATTTTAGAAACGTATTTATTATTGAAGACTTCCTCAATCTACCACGGACTTTTCCAATGTCCCTTTCTTCAGTAATGCAACGACATGTACGAACTACTGGAGGTAGGTGTTTCAAAAGTAATAAGTAATGGTTCTAACAAGTATAGTTACTTTTGCAAATGTTTAACTACGCTTGGTTTGGACGTTACCGAACTAGAATTTATTTAAAAATAAATTCGATTGGCTAAACGAAAAAAATTGAAATTTAACAAAATTTAAAACGTGCGTGATGAAAACCTTCATACTAACAAATTTTACGACTAAATACATAGTTTTATACTAAATTTAATTTTTTTTTTTATTCCTTGTATTATTAAAATTTCGTACGAAATTTTAAGTGACGGGAAATCAAAATAAAAAAACTTTTTTTGCGATTTTCTTTAAACAATTATTTTTCACTTAACAATATTTTAAAACTGTTTAAACTCAACTTTTTATAAATTAAAAAATTCTATTTACTTTTCAATAAAGTATCAATTTATCCTGTTTAAAATTTTTTTAAACCAGTAAAATCAGACAAATTTAGTAAACTTTTACATGCATCAAAACAACCATGATGAAAGTCATTGGTGGAAGTCCAAGAATCTGATGCAAAAAATAAAAATAATATTTTTCAAAGCGTCAAGTTTTTTGTATTTTTTAATTTACCTTATATTTTTTGTCTGTATTAATGTGAATCGAACCCTCTGATCTATTTTAATTTTCTTCTGAATTCTCGAACAATTTTGTTTTTCTAACAGAAAAAATTGTCATCGATGACAGTACAATGTAGTGTGAAAGTGTTATACATTTTAAATACATATTATAGAAGATCATGTCACATTGATGTCGATGGCTCGTCTTACATTACTTGTCTGTATCTACTCGATTTCGCAAACAACGAACTGTTTGTTTATAATTAACATGCATTGGGGACTTTTTAATTAAATATAATGGATAAAAATTATTGACAAAAAGTTATTGAAGTAGTTGTAACTTGGTTTGCGAAGGCACAAGTCTGAGGTTCGGCTGCTCAAGTAGAGCATAAGTTTTAATTTCATCACTAATTGGAAATTTTTGGAGAGTTAATTTCACCTTTGTCTGGAACCTACCCCTCTAGCCATGTGGCAGGTCCTGGTGTAGGTTCTGCTCTCGTGGAAACCGGGGTAGACTTAAAGGAAGGGCTTAGGTAAGATATAATATACGGGTCTATTTGAAAAAGATGTTGGGTTAAATTACTAGGCAATAGGTTGAAGGGCAACGTATGGTATTTAAGTCAACATTAATCAATACAGGGGTGGTAAAGGGTGCTCGTAAAAAAAAGTGATTTGGTGTGTGGGTAAAGGAAAATATGAAATTAAGTTGAAACTATACGAATAAGTTATCAAAACGTAAGCTTTTAATAATGAAGTAAAAAGTAGAGAATAATTTTTTATCGTATAGGTACATATGTGGTGTAATAAACAAACCAACAGTTTGTTACACACCCGATTTCAAAAACCATTTGTGAAAAATAAATTATTTACTATTTTTAAATTGTAGTAAAAGCAAATTTTTATTATTAATATATATATATATATATTCAACAGTAAAACAATACCTAGATCACGAGAAAAACACCTACGTTAAAAAGTATCTTGAAGAATTATAAAATGGTTTATTATGAAATAGTTACAAAATTAGAGAGTTACCACAAACATAAAATTATAGATCTTAATAAAATACAACTTTTTTATACCATGTGTGTTACTATAACATGCAATAGACATACGAAACAACAAAAAAGTACTAAAATGCAATTTTTTTTCGGCACTCACTTTTTTCTCAAGTGTAGTCCTAATGCTGAAAACAGCAAAAATCATTTAAAAATGGCAAAAACATCATTGTATAACATCAAACTTTTTATTTGACAATTATGAAAAAAATTTTGAACACAAAAATACTTTAGACTGCAAAAATCGTTTCAAAAAGACCAAAAAAAAAGATATTTTTATGACACCTATCTTTTTTTATTCAACAGTTGCGGATAAAGTGTTGAATATACAAAAATTGTACAACTCGTAAAAATGCAACTTTATTGTGTAGATTATTTTTATTGATAGTGTTGTTCTAATACTATAAATGGCAAATATCGTTCTAAAATAACCAAGAAATTGTTTTTTTTTAAACATTTTACTTTTTGATTTGAAATTGTCGGACACAACGTAGAATAAGAAAAACTCACTTTTTCTTATAAAAATTTACTTTTTCCTACTTTGGGCGTTTTTTTACCCTAAGACGTTAACTACGCCCTCACGCACGTTACTGCGGCCAAGGGAAGCACAAAGAGTCCTTCGGACCTGATGATTACCATTTTGTCATAAAATAATGTTTTACTAAAAAACTTGGTCCCTTCTGACTATAAGCTGGGACACTATTTATCATAATTATTGTAAGTATATTAAATTTATAGTTTGAACAATACCATCGCAAAGAAAAAAAATGATTTAAGGAAAAAACCATACGTTTGGCACGTTTAGAGATACGTAACTTATAGAGATGATGGGAATTTCGTGGTAACATATCTGACAATGGTCGAAACGACATTATCAAAATAGCAGCAGACTAAAACAATTTTACAAAACAGTCGTTTGATTAATATATTTTGCAGATCGATTTGCTTATAGATTTTAAACAAAGACATGAGAGTAAAATGTCTTTCATTTTTATTTGCTTTGCAAAGAAGTATCAATTATGTATCTGAAAGTCATTCAATTTAAAAGCCGTCAAAATAAGTAAGAAAAAAATCCTATCTGCAATATCGTAAGCAGCTTGTTTTTATTTCTTTGTGAATGAACATCAAAAGTCACAAGATCAACCCAATTTGGAAACACAAATTATTGTAACCATCCCGTTTATTATTTTAAAAAACCATTGTTGCGCTGTTACATTACAACTACCCACGCGTGGTGCAAAAAACACACTATGCTTTTCCCAAAGTTGGCGTCTTCACGCGAAATCCCTAAAACACCTGAAAAACGCAATTCGCACTGCATCCAAAAGTTTCCTCCAGCCCCCAAATTCTTAGACCGCGACCATAAACCAATAAATCGAAAAGCGCGTTGCTCTTGACAAAGTTTTTTGTGCCCCGAGCACCTTTATTGTCGCATCTTGAGAAACCATAAACCCAGAGCAGGAGGTGGGATACTACTTTATTTTTTCCCATTGTTTTTTTCCCACAAAATCACGGGAAAAAAATCGATTCCTCACCGGCGCTTCCTCGTTGCGAATGACACCGGCAATAGATCGGCGTTGCGGAGTCGCGCGGTACACGGCCCGTCTCTCCGGGTCCACTCGAAAAACAAGACACGCGCACAAGCGTGTACGAAGGCACGATCGCCGATGGGACGATCCCATCGGCCGACACGTGTGCCGCCCGAGTGGAGCATAAAGTGACCGGCGTTAGGCGGAGGCCGCACAGTCAGCTGCCGACCGGACTGACCGAAACACGCGCTATTTCGATAGTCTGTAGCCGTCGCACGGGCTGTCTTTGTATTGACATCTCGTTTTTTTTTTTTTTTTTGTTTGTTCTTTGGGGAAGTTTTGATCGACGCGAGAGTAGGCCCTGCGCTGAATCGGTTTTATGAGTGGCTCGTTTGGCTTTAGCTGTCACGGAGTTTGCCCGGGGGCTGTTTGACAAGCCGATAGTTTGCAGCTGGCAGTACAGGTGAGGACGTTTTTTTGTCACTTGTGGATCGATAGCAGTAAAATTTGACCTTTTGGGTTGAAATTTTACCCATTGAGGAACATTAGGATTTTCGTGAATTATGAATACGTGCAACATTTCTTGAATTGTCATGAAGTGGGTGTCCAGTATAGTTTTTTTGACTATGCGTGGCACTCGTGGATGTACTTGGAGCGTTTAATCATACAATACGTCCAATTGACTGGGTGACGTTTTTTTATTTTTATGGGTAATCATTGGAAGATAAAAGTAAAATTATCTTATTTTTATCGGACGTAACAACTATAAATTTTTTACAACGCGCGAGCCTTGATAAAAACTGGTTTTAAATCGAAGTGATTGTAAGATCGGGTGAAGCAATTTCTACAAAAAAGAAAAAAAATGAAATTCGGTTGGCCAACAATGACTCGCTAATAGTACTATTCATCGGTTCACATCTTGCGAAATTGAAAAAAAGAAAAAAAAAAAGATCTCAGTGACCGCGCACGTGCGAGTCATGGCTTTGAGAGCACTTTCGTTTGCGTATTAAATCCTTCAAGATCGAGCTGCACAAAAAAGATTAAAAGATCCGATTAATTAAAATTTCTCTAGTAGTATTTCATTACCGGACACAAATGGAGTTATAATGTTACAAAAAACATTGTGTCACTTTTTCGCGCTCGATTGGATTCTATCTTGACCAACGATCGCAACACCCGTAAGATCTCCTTGTGATTGACTGTAATTCTATACGTATACGACCACGTTAAGTCTTGAGTTTTGGAGAAGAAAAAAAGAAAATCCAACGGAAAAACGAATGACGCTCATTGCCCATGATTTAAAAAATTGACAATCGAATGGAAGGTTAGAAACGAGCGCCGGCAAAGTACCGGCTTCTGGTAGTAGAAGGGGGTAGGTGAAATTGAAGGTTCCGCGCTATGGAATAGTTTCAAGTAATCCTCGAAGCGCGAGCATCCGTAATTGACGATAAAAGGAATTGCCAGAGGTTGAATCGAAACAAAAAGTGTACCTCTTGGCGGAACGTTGATGTAACGGTGTGTCTACACATAACATAAGTGTACACCGCTCTCTGAGAGCAGATATATTTATATTGTAAAGTTGACTGAATATGCACCGTGCGATATGTACTTGTTCGAAATTTTCTTTTTTTTTTTCTTCACATAGAAAGCATAGGGGGGGGGGGGAATCGCTCTTTTTTTGGGAGTAGAGGAAGAAATGCTAATGATTGCTTTCACAAGCCTATTCTCGAGAGTCTCGGCGGTTAACGCGCTCCACTGTTCAAAATGCTTGGATGAAAAATACCGTACAGCGACGGAATTTTTTTTTTCTCGATGGAAGCAAGAAAAGAAGGAAGACGGAAGCGTCAAAGGGGCGCGCGAATGTAACTCGGCCGGGAAAATCGAATACGCGAGTGACGAGCGCCAACGTGCAGGTCCGCGTACATATCGAATACGCAATTAGCGTCGTCATCGGTGATGGTTCCCGCGCGAGTACATTGTACGAGGGTACACGTGTATAGGTTGAATCGGTGGGGGTAATCCGGCTAAGCATCGCGTGTACTCGATGATTAAGCTGCGGCGTGAATAACTGAGGCGTCGAATGAAAAAAAGGAGGAGAAAAAAAAAAAATCGGATACAGGCGTACCCTTGCACCGGTACCACTTCAGGTGAAGCAATCTGTGAAAGTCAGTGGCGCGAGCGAGCCAAGGTGTCGTTCGACATCGCGTTCTATAGGTGTAGCGTACCGGTATACGTCTAGATCTCCAAAAAATGAAAACCATGTGATTTCCTGATAGTATTGCCTCTAACTTGAGATACTTTATGCTAACTGCCTTGGTTATGAACATTTTGCCTTAACTCGGTTGAGAATAAAGTTGATTTATTGCAGTAATTGAAACCAACCGAAAGCGTAAATAAGCCTCTATTTAGATAAGACTGGTGTAGTTGAAAAAGTTGTACACGGCAGGTTGCAATTTTCAATATCACACTATAGAATAAGAGGAATAAGAGGAACCTGTATTATCACGAGTCGTAGATTTCTAGTCAAATCACCATACTTTTACCTTTTTCAATTTCATTTTGTGATGCTTTTTATTTTATTTTAATTTACAATTTATTTGTACTAATCTTTGCAAACTCAAGGGTTATTGGTACCTCCGCTTTGAGACCTCCTCACTCGTGATTTTTCCGGAGACCTCGACGTGTACATGCGACAGTTTGAGCAACGATTCGACACCGGCTGTAAAATTTTAAGTATACCGATTTACTCATTTCCATCTGTTTAAGTATACCCCACCTGCCTTATATCCACTCACATTACACGCACGACGAGAAAAATACCCATGTGCGTTGTTGGAGGTGAAAAAAAAAAAAAAATGGGCGTACCAGAGTTGTTGCGAAAGAGATTCTTTTGGGAAGCTGTAAACACGAGTTCAATGGGTTTGTCAAGGACATTTCACCAAGATGTTTGTTGTCGGACCCTCGCACGGGTGGGAGAGAGGGGGGGGACCCACGGGAATTTTTTTTGAATAAATTACGTTCGGGCGTGCAGGCGCACTAACGCCGGTGATTTGTCAATGACGTGGTGATTTCGATTGACGCGCGAGTTAATTCATTCCGTCGAGCATAGGTTGCTGATGGTACAAGGAATTAAAAAAAAAATTTTTTCCCGTGCGAGATATTGTGTTGGTTTCAATGGATAAATGTTCTCTGCGGGCTATTATGCAATTGACGTAAGTTTTCAAAAACCCGTTGAGAATTACCGGGAACAACGAGTGAAATCTTTTGTTTCGAATTACATCGCGCGAAGGAAGAACAAAAAAAAACCTGCTTCTTAATAACAGCAAATTAAGCGCGTGATTAGCAACAGCCGCTGCTGCAACGCTGTTGGAAGGTGATTTTCTTTATCGGACGATTAATTTATACATTCTCCTCGGCAATAATTGCAGGATGTCTCATCTACGTGTTTGTAACCACATGTTTCTCCCCACTGCACGTGTGTCGAGTAATTCAAGTGTACTCGGGAATGCCTGCCGGTGGACAATTTACTTTATTGTTTCATACCCGCACATGGTTACATCAGAGTGGACTGACCCACGATTTTTTTTTTTCTTCCACTACATTCATCAAATTCAATAATTTTACATTTTTAATTAAATTGCCTGAGGGGTACCTAATACAATTAAGTTTAAGCCGGTACCAACATATATATATACGAGTACAACTAATAACTCATGTTTAGCATAGGTATACAATTACGGTACGTCTTGTCAATCGGCCGATCTTCTTCGGAAATAGCGACTATATATATATTATTGAATAAGAGGAGCCAAAGTATCTCGTTTGGGCACGTGTTTCCCTGTATTATAAAGTCACTTTGCCTCCAGCGGCACGGTCCTCCAGACTTTAACGTGATTTTACGCAATTATTTGGCATTGGTATGTTAAATCATTTTTAAAAATACTGGAAATACTTAGAACACATTTAAAAATACATCATATTGCAGTAAAAACGAGTAAAGTACCATAAATCACGTAATATTACGCCACTCTGGATAATTTTTTTTTTTTTTTTTTTTGTAAAGTAACGTTATGTATAGAGTAAGATTAAAAATTATTATTTCTACCTGAAATTATAAAAATCACGATTTTTTTTTTCCAAACATGATTTTACATTTTTATTGTGCGAAAATAAATCCATACAACTGTTCACAAAATCTTAAATGAGGTACCGTAGATATGAATAACATTAATTATTTTAGCTTAACATTACATGACATTGTGTTTTTTACTTCGTACTTCGACATAATACCCGTTTTCATGCAACGAATCCAACATCAACAATGGTGCGAGGTCCTTTAAGTTAGTACACGTAAAATGACGCAATATAACGTTGGTATGCGTAAAATAACGCATTGTTACCTTACTTTATGTATCATTTGACCAAAACTTTCAAAGCCTCGTTACCTTATTAAACATAAAATAAAGTGATTATGGAACAAGATGTTGGAATCTTGCTTTCGTTTGACTGGTGCACAATCCAATCTTAGGTATGATATCGCTTGAGATTGAAAAATAATTGATATCTCAGCTCATGTATGGATCGTAGTAGTTGTCAAAACTATAACGTTCTGTAAATTTTACGTTACATTTTGAGGTCACCTATACAGCAACTCATATACCATTTTTAATAATTATTTTTCAATTCTAATTTTTTAAGCGCTTTTTTCAGCTCATTTTACAGTTCCTCTACTGCAAAAATTAATGAATAAAGGATCCCAAGTACGAATAAATGAGCCCTTAGTGGACACTGTTGAACTACTTTCTGGGTGATAAATTAATTAATTTTTTTTTTTTTTTTTTTTAATGCCTTTTTAAGGTGGCTTATCACAAAATCAAAATACTTCAAGTATGAAACTTGCAGGAATCACACTTGAATATTAATAATACAATTTCAAACTATACATAATTGCAATTGTAGGTATGGTAGCGGTTTAACATACAACGTCTACTTTCGGGGATCTAGTTGTGACATACTGCAAGAGCTACAATTTTAGCCCATTTGTTGATGTTTCCGATTAATTGTTGGCTCATGCGTAAACAAATTTAAAAAACCGTCAAAATAATTTTAAAAAACCATTACGGCTTATTTTGCAGGTCTTTGGAATACCTATACATATTCTTCCATATGGATGCATTTTAACAAATCTAATAGAAAAAAATCTTAAGCATAGAAAAAACTATTTTTTCGTCTCGAAATTAGGTGACCATAATTTATGCAAATAAACTCAGCTGTCAAAAGTAATTTGTTATTTATTTACATCACTCAAGGCTTCTAAATAAGATGGCAAATCGATTGAAATTTTTTTTTCCGAAAAGTTTCTTTCCTGGTCCAAAACTAAAAGAGCAACCTCGTTACGATAGATTGATCTGAGCGTAAATTAAATTTTAATTTTAAATTAGGCGATGTTGTAATATTAGAAGT